GAGAGAGAGAGAGAGAGAGAGAGAGAGAGAGAGAGAGAGAGAGAGAGAGAGAGAGACGACTCACTTGCATAACAAACGCAAATATTCTTAGATTCTTGATTGGGATGAAGAAGAGAAAGGGAACCGCGATTTCGGTTACATAAGTCATGACAACTGACAACCGGAGCAAAGAGGACGGAAAGTGGTGGACAAACCACGCGAATGGTGTGGGAATGCATTGAGACTCGAAGTGTATGTCCAGCGCCGTGAGTGTCCACCATTTGGGACAACCACTGGTCAGCTTAACCACACCCGAGGCGAACATCAGACGGAATAACAGCCACCGAACCAACCAGAAGGTGAGGCCAGTGTGCGGTCCCGACTCGACCAGTAGTGGGAGGTTGAGTGGGGCCGTCAACGCCGTCAGTAGTCCCGTCTCCAGCAATAGAGTGTCCCATTGAAACCACATAAACGTTTGGCCAACCTTTGCATCAATTCACACCCAATTGGCGGTTATAACGGTATAGACAACACACAGACACACATCCATTACCACACCTGATATATGGAGAAATAGAGCACAAATAGGAGCGAATAGCTCCAGAAGTCGCGGAACCGTTTGGTGATGAGCCCCAGGAATGAGATGACAATTCCCGAGAGAGCGACGATCTCCAGAGTGGACGCGAAGGAGAGCCCAATGGATGGACCCAACCATACGAGCGACGGAACCCTTTTGAACGCCTCCACTATAGCCGACGCCCCCCTCTTATCCATCTGCGCGAACGCACGCACCGGTAGTACCCCATCGTCACCGTAAAGACCTGTTTGGTTGGACAACACATGCGATCAGATCAATAGGTATGACAACCGCGACAACAGCTGAGGAAGTGATTCAATACCCGGTATTTGCGTATAAATGGACGTAAAGGCGAACAAATAAATGCCAGAAACGGCCCATAAATAGTAATTGTGGACACGATTTATGCCGCAAACGTTGGATCCGCTCATCGTTTCGGTGATTATCCAAATGCAAAGACCAATCAATGGATCGCTTCCTCCGATTCAGTGATGAATTGAAAGCACTGTTTGTTTGACTCGTGTTTCGCTGTAATTGGCGTTCAATTGAGTCAAACACTCAATACGTTTACATGTGTTGTATGTGTTGTGCAGTCAATACAACCCAACACTGTGTGCGCCCATCGTTACGGACACCCCTCGCACTCAGCAATGTCTCACTCAATGGACTCGTCCGGCGTTTAAACGCCCGCCAATGGCAGCACATTTGATGCCCACAATCGGCCAATCGTGACCTTCGTCTCAATGCCTGACCCACTCAGCGATTTATATTCACACAATATTCATATATAACGTACACATATAGTGAACGACGAAAAGTCTAGAATTGACTCGAAATGCGCCAAATATTTAACGCTTTCGTACGAAACGCAAGTATTGCCCCCATATATAGGGTCGTCAAACGCCGCGTTTAATCGTCACGTCATTCACGGATGACTGCAATCTCTGACACATTACGTCATTGTTTTGTTTGCAATGTTTTCATTAATTCAGTGAAACATTTCATTTGGATTTGTGTTGAGTTGTGTTGACTGAAGCACTGAAGCCATGAATGTCTACCATTTCAGCGCATTTAACGATACGTTGGATCCGATTCACCACAAGAGTGTGGGAGCGGTGGTCACCGACAGCAACGACAACGAGGGAGAGGACAGTCGGGTAGGACTCGACAACTTAGGCAACACATGCTATTTGAATGCTGTCGTCCAGTGTCTCGCGAATACGGATTCGTTGCGACACTACTTCACGTGTAAGACATTTCCAGACACGCCGTTCAGTTGATCCCATATTTGATTCGCTTCCTTGTCTTCACTCCTTAAACAGCCTATGATTTTGAGGACGACTTAAACCGATCCAAAGGTTTAATTGCTTACCCATTGGCCCGACTTATCCGACAGCTGTGGACACCGAGTAGTGATGGCGTGAAGAGGTCTGTGCGGCCGACACACGTCAGGTCGTTGTGCGACCGCTGGTCGAGCCTATCGTGGGGTCAGAACGACGCGCACGAGTTCTGCACTTTTCTCTTGGATTCACTTCATAACGATCTGAATCGCAGTCGTCTGAAGCCGTCGGCCATCACTTCCAGCGCAGAAGCAGACGACGACAATAATAACTCGACGGATGTGCACGCGTTGGCCAATAGTTCTTGGAATGAGTTCAAGAGGTTTAACGACTCGATTGTCGTCGACCTGTTCTATGGCCAGTATATGTCGGCCATTGTCTGCTCTGTTTGTCCCAAAGTATACATTAATTGTTGTTATTTTGTCATTATTTTTGTTTAAAAGTGATATAACATCTAAACTATTGTTTTGTCTTCTTTAGAGATCACTAAAATTCGATCCATTCGTCTATTTATCACTTCCCATACCATTGACTCATAAAGACATTAATCTTCGCGATTGTCTTGACTTATACTCAGCACCGGAAGTGCTCTCTCAACAGAATTCTTGGTACGGATTGATAACATATGATAAACCATTGAATTATCACTAATTATTTTGAAAACAAACTAATGATATGATTAATCAAAACCGATAGGCATTGCCCTCAATGTCGGACGAGTCGTGAGGCGACAAAATATAGCCGTTTTTGGCGATTACCGCGAATTCTTATCATTCAATTGAATCGCTTCTGTTTTGACATCAAGTCCTGTCCCGAAAAGATCACATCATTTGTCGACTTTCCTCTCCATAACTTAGATCTGAGTTCGTATTCACTGTCCGGACAGCTCTCCTCTTATGATTTGTATGCTGTGGTCAACCATTACGGCGATGTGAATGGCGGCCATTACAAGGCTTACGCCAAAGACACCAATATCTTCAAAGGTTTAGGTAATCATTTTCGTCGATATATTTGCTTTGAATATTAAATTTTATTTTAAAAAATAATCAAATCTAATGTCTTTGTTTGGTATCTATGGATAGGTTGGCGTTGTTTTGATGATAATCATGTCGATGACATGAGACCCGACTCTGTTATCACCAGAAATGCTTACATTTTGTTTTACAAACGCAAAGATTACAATTCACACCTTTGATCACGTTTTCACTCATTTTAGTCAGTGTTTGGACAACTT